TATATATAATGGAACAATAAATACTTATATATTAATCAATATTTACCGAAAAATTATTTATTAATAATTATTTTATTAACAATTATTAATTTTTAACTGTAACGAATTAAAACGAACACAACGGCCCATATTCAGAACGCGCAACGATGTTAGCACGCTAACATACCATACTTTACGTCACGCATATTATAGAATTTCAGAGATAAAAGTGCGCTTTTATCGATAAAAGAGCGTTCTGAATACGGGCCAACGTGTATATCACTGCGTGTGCTAACTGCCGTGTCTTCTGATTCTAGTCTAGTACTTTTCGATCTAGTACTTTTCCGAGATTCCGTTTTCCAAAATCCTACTGTCATGGGACAGCACTCTTATTCGACGCGTTTTTGCATGAAACGAAAGAATCTGGCAAAAAAAACGTCGTTCTGCCTTGTAGTCTGAAATATTAAGCGTTAAAGTTGATGACTATTGAGGTTAAGAAATCTGTCACAGAGGCAAAATGAGGTCTATAATTGTACTGTTCGGCTAATGCGGCTCTTTGATTGGTTCATGACATCTTAAGACTGTACTTAAGATGGTCTAAAATATAAGATCCGACTATGAATACCGGCCCTAGTGCCGGTATTCATAGTCAGATCTTATATTCAAGACTGTCTTAAGTACGGTCTTAAGAAGTCACGAACCAATCAGAGTGTTGCATTAGCGTCTTAAGACATTACTTAAGACGGTCTTGAAATAAGAATCGACTATGAATAGGGCGGCTGCGTTCGGAAACATCACCCGAGTGCCCCCGCGTATCGAATTATCTTTATTGGTCACTCAGTGTTAAACAAGAATAAAGCCGGCGGCACACGATGCTTGTTTTCCTACTGGATTGCTAGCTGGATTAGAATCTTGCCACCGTATTGGATGTGATGCTGTCAGTGCCAGCATCGCAGCCAATACAGTGGGAAAATTCTAATCCAGCTAGCAATCCAGCAGGAAAACAAGCATCGTGTGCCGCAGGCTTAAGATGATACACGGAGACACTCGGTGATGTTTTCGAACTCAGCCTAGTGCAGTTATGCATCGAACACAAGTGGCAGATGCACCAATAGAGGATAACCTCAATCGAACACGCTAAAACTGAGAGAAGGCGCACTCAGTGCACACTAGTGCGCACTAGTGCATCCAATCGAATTCGCCATGAGTTGTAAGGACTATCGCACATGAAATGCATAACAGAGCATAAGCATAACGTAAAGGGCTTCACACATGAAATGCATAACAGTGCATAAGCATAACATAAGACTGCTCAAGTCTTATGTTATGCTTATGCACTGTTATGCATTTCATACCCTATAAGATGCTCATTGGTTTAGCGGCCTTATGTTATACTTATGCTCTGTTATGCATTTCATGTGTGAGAGCCCTAAGGCCGTTAAACCAATGAGCATCTTATGTAAATCAATATGGCGACATTATGCTAGATGCTCATTGGTCCAGCAGTCTTATGTTACGCGTATGCTCTGTTATGCATTTCATGTGCGATAGCCTTTAGGGCACTCACACATGAAATGCATAACAGAGCATAAGCATAACATAAGGCGACTAAACCAACGAGCATCTTATGTAAATCAATATGGCGACATTATGCTAGATGCTCATTGGTCCAGCAGTGTTATGTTATGCTTATGCTCTGTTATGCATTTCATGTGCGATACCCTTAAAGCGGGGAGCACAGCTCTTGCATAACGCATAACACGTAATGCATAAGAATATGTAGGGGAAAGTGGGCGAATTGTGCGCACCTAAGGGATATTCGTTTTTCTGAGATGGTTTTCTAAGTTCAAAGCGATATAAATAGGGAAATAGAAACTATAAACATTCTCCTACCATTACGTATTCTTATATTGAACAGATTTTCATTCAATAAGGTTATATTTGGCAAAAAGGAAAAAACGGAAAAGCGAAAAAATTTGTCACGCGTCGGGTAATTGTGCGCATGGGTTAGGGAATTGTGCGCAAAGCAAAAGTTGTAGGAAGTGAATGAATTAGGTTTTGAATTATGTTATGAATTATGTTTTGCATTCTGACAAGAGAGATTCAACTGAGTATTTACCTATAATCCGCACAAGATCGAAACTGTGCTTTAGTGAGTCTCGTAAAATCAATGCAAAGTGGGGTTATGAACCTATGTTTACATGTGATAACTTTTTATAAAAGTAAACAAGTAGTGACGTCATAATCTGAGTATAAAATACTCAGCTCACTTCAAATTCAGTTTCACTTGTGTATACTGGAAAATAGCTATATAGTTTATTGAAGATGGGTAATTGTGCGCATTTTACACCGCCTGCGCACAGTTACCCGCCACGATCTGACTCTATATGAAATA